GCTTAAGGTGGTATATGGACTGATAGTTGAGTTTTCTCACAATGAGATAAGTAAGCCTTAGGATGCTATTGAATTTAACTTGGCCTAGCTTCCCAAAAGATTATCCAATCCAGCAGGGACTATAGTTTCAAGTTCGCTTCCAATGGGATTCGGCAGAGAATCGTGAATGTCGTGGAGGTGTTAACACTCCACTATACAGCCACAGATGCAGTGTGTAACAGAAAAAATATGACATTAAAGGACCCCACCCAAGCCACATTTATAGTAGAATTGTCGTTTTCGTAAGCTTGAGTTTGTCATTATAATCGAATGAATAAAATTATTAATGGTTTTGAAGACTATTTATACTCAAAATAAGTTAAAGTCCATTTTACAGCTCCAGAGAAAGATTTAGACAGGTTGACTATTGTTTATTTAAAAAAATATAAGACTTTTGGGCCCAAACAAATAGGTATTCTTGCTGCCTCAGTGGCGTTAATTAATAAAATAAATAGCCAAACGAAAATAGTAAACTATTTTCATCATGCTAGCATTGGTATAAGCTTAATGCTAAATATGAATGAATCTCATCATCACATATGCTCAAACTAAATGAAATTTTAGCAGCCTACTTGGCATAAAGGTCGTTCTGTGACTCGCTGAAGCTAGCTCATAAAGTCGACGTTCGTCTTTAAGTGGATAATATTTGAATCTAAATCTCACGTACAAAATTTAAAATATGAAAAAACTATAGAAGTTTTGGCTTAATTATGAAGAACAGGCGTCTACAAAAGTGGCAATTATAAGGTTCAAATCACAAAGAAAGATATCTAATTCAATGATAAATTTCATGGTTGGCGGAGACAATCAATAAATGTCAATTGTTATACCTGTACGACATGCCCATTTTCAGTCTCTGGTAAGATGGAAGAGGAGTCGCCTGGTTCTTCGGATTGCAGACCGGCTAAGCGAAGTTCAATTAAATCCCCAGGCTGTAGTACAGAAATTGAAGAAGCCAAGGCAGTTCTGGATAATCCAGAAGAGGGGGTAACGACAGAGGAAGAACAACCACCATTTGGAATACTGCTCCCATTATCAGCACAGCCGCCCCGACCAGTAATGTCTACATTGCAGCGCCTGGCAAGAGTTGTAGGGCGCAAAATGTTCATTTCGCCCGAATTTTCACCAATTGCCTGAAAGGATGTATGCGTATGGCCCGAGCTGAAAGCCTCAGGAAGAAGAGATCGATCCCATCGTAAAATAGAAGCTTGAAGATGGCCACGAGCTGAAGAAGTATTGGAGGCTATAAGGAATAGTTTGGCAATGAATAGTAATATATATATATATATATA